TTTCAAGTAGAAATCAAAGCCACAAGGTCCATGGACAAATGGGTCCATTATGAGCCATGGGAGCAGAAGTCCCAACATCCACCAGGGGATGAGGGACAGAACCGTGCTGCTAGTTGTGAATGGGGTTGAAACATCTGTACCGTCCACCATGAGTCACAGCCAAAAATCATGCTCCTGTCTGTGTCCAGGAGCCAAAATTAAGCCATCCACATGAGACTGGGACCCAAGCTTGCACCATAGGGTATGTAGCGCAGGAAGACAGCTCTGGTCTGAGCTGTTGATATGAACTCTGACTTAAAAGCACACACCCTTACAGATAGAGGGCAGGAGAATACATACAACTGCCTTGAAAATAAGTTACAAACACAAATTAGGGAATATCTGAGGACATCCAATGATCAGACTCGCCCAATAGAAGAATTCATACCTGAAGAAACAAAGATGCTAGAACAATCAGAAAAGGATTTTATGACAAGTATTTTTTAAATCCTCAAAGAGACAGAGGTGGTATTTACATCCACAAGGTAAGAAGAGTTTTTTCTAAATCAAAAAAAGTGAGAAGGCATGAAAAGAAACTAGCTATTTATCTTGGAAATAAAATAAACCATTGTTGAAATGAAAAACTTAGCAGATAGGCAAAACAACAGACCAGACACAAATGAAAAGAGCTGGTTAACTGGAGTATAGAATTGAAGAAACCTTCCCAAACATAGCACAGAGAAATAGAGCACTAGGGGGCAAAATGTTTAAGTTAATGTACATGGAGGACTGATGGAGTAGCTACGTATGAAGACAGTAGAGATCATGTTGGAGAGGAAACATCCAAGAGATAATGGCTGAGATTTTTTTCCAGAATTAAAGAAAAACTGAATCTTCTGACAAAGAAAGCCACAGAGTGCAAAGTACAATAAAGGTAACCATACAGACACTATAACCCTGAATTTATAACTAAATAAACACAGCTTGAAAGAAAATAGACCCAAGTGTCAACAGTGGTTACTCCTGATGATAGGATTTAGAGGGAGATTTTTATTTTCTTCTTTAAATTTTAATGTATTTTCTAGGTACTCTGCAGTGAAAAGACGTTTCCATAAACTGTCTGTAGAGAAGGAGTATTTGTTATTTCGCATACACATAAACGTACTTAAAAAAAATATCTGTCCTCAGGGAACTTGCACTCTAGTGGAGGAGATGAGGAAATAACATCTAAAGCATTAACCCACTTGGATAGATGTAGTTAACATCGGAGCCTTGCCTTCCCCCCTATGAAAGGGTTAGAAATAAGAGGGACAGGGAGGGAGGAGGTTAGGACACTGAGCAGAAACATATAGGACTGGTGCATATGCTTGATTTATAGGGGCTGCTACTGCAACTTCCATGTATTCCACTTGGACAGGATCAAAATAGCCAAACCAAGATGTGATTAGAACTTACACCAATCATTATTCCCACCTCTAACTTAATTATATCTCAAGACTACCCACTGATAGAAGCAGAAATTAACATCTTCACTGTAAATTCAATTAACACCACAAAAATCTGTCACTTGACACATTTCAATGACTATAAAACTTTTTTTTTTCCCCCAAGGGCCAAGTAGACTGAGGGAAAGGTAAAATGGTAGGGAGAGGTATTCAATGTAAGTGATAATCGAAGTAAGTGCCATGGTTATCCACGGGGGCACTATCGTGTTACCAATTTCGAAGCGAAAACACAGTTATGTTCTGGGCTTTACCAAGTGAACGTCATCACAGGTGGAAACAGAGAGGCCTTGTCAGAGGTTCAGACTTTGTGGCCATAAACACCACTGGCAAACCCGACCAAGCAAGGTGGTCTGTGTCTTCAGAGCCAAACAAACTGCATTCAGCATTCAGCATTCGGCATTCAGCTCCAAAAGAAACAGGTGGCAAAGGCACTAGCCAACTTGATGTGCTACTAGGCTGTTCATGTCTCAGACGGTCTCTCTTTTTTTTTTAACACATCCAGGTTTTTCAAAATACCACTCTCTAACCCAATCCTTCTCAACATCAGAAGCACATTCCATATGTGGGGCCCAACATGTACCCCAATATTATCCCTACTGACATATCTGATTCCCTGCCATCAAGACCAACTCAGAAAGCCCCAGCGATGAGAAATATACAATTTCCTTCACCATTTTTGAGTCACGGGATCTTTTGTTCCTCTCTTCTCCACCCCCTCTTAAATCTCTCTCTAATCTTGATTTCTCTGAAAATGTTCTTTCTCATCTCTCTCCTGGCATTTCCTGATTCCTTTTTTCTTTTAATCCTCACTTGAGAATATGGTTGTTGTTTTTTTATTTATTTTTAGGGAGAGAGAAAAAACATCCATGTGAGAGAGAAATATTGATTGGTTGCCTCCCGTAAGGGCCCCGACCAGGATCCAGCCTGCAACCTAGGTATGTGCCCTGACCGGGAATGGAACCTGCAATCTTTTGGTGTACCGGATGACTCTCCAACCAACTGAGCCACCTCGCCAGGCCATCCCTTTTCTTCTTTACTCTCTTGTCCAATCCCCAGAAGGAATTTTCACTCCACAGGAGAGGAGAATGCTTCCACCCATAGCTCTTGGACTTCTCAAAACTCTCTTCCTTACACCCTGTTCAGGAGAGGAGCAGCTGCTGGTAGTAAGTGAGAGCCTGCCGTTCACAGTGGGAAGGGTCACTGCCTATCAAGGGAGTGCTCAGCTGTGAGCCCGGTCCCTGTTCCTGAGGCTGTGCCTGCAGTCGGATGTATGAGTCAGGAGAGAGCCTGAGCCACACACCTGCCAGCTCTGACATCCCAGCCTGAGTGAGCCTCCAGCCGCCTTCTCCAATTCAGCTTTTATCAGATTTCTCCCCTGATTGTGCTGGGCCTTAGTCAATCCAGAAATTTCACTTTCAATATGGCTATTGTTTTCTGTGTATCACTCCTTTGGTCAAAACTTCAGAAGGGAGGAGGTATTGGTGGTAATGCTTAGATACTAAAATCCCTGCTGGAAAAGGCTGTTCTCCTTTTTAATATCTTCATCGGAAGGCTGGTCACTCCTGCTAGTCCAGCCGTGGGCAAACTACGGCCCGCAGGCCGGATCCGGCACGTTTGAAATGAATAAAACTAAAAAAAAAAAGACCGTACCCTTTTATGTAATGATGTTTACTTTGAATTTATATTAGTTCGCACAAACACTCCATCCATGCTTTTGTTCCGGCCCTCTGGTCCAGTTTAAGAACCCATTGTGGCCCTCAAGTCAAAAAGTTTGCCCACCCCTGTGCTAGTCACTTATTTGCAAGCTCTGTGGGCTCTGATTTGCTGCACCTTTCCATGGCTCAGTACCTCCCATAAAATGAAATTCCTTGACCCTCCTTAAGATGGGACGACAAAGTTCAAGAATAGGCTTGACTTTGGTAGAATGTGAGATCTACAGCTGAGGATCAAAAAAACCAGAGATCTAGTCCCATCACCCACTGTGTGGTCTTGGCCCAGTCTTTAACTGCCCTTCTCCTCAGTCACTTCATCTGAAAGTTGCAGGATGTTCTCGTAGACTCTAAGTCCCTTTCCAGTTCTGAAATGGCCCAATCCTTCATGGCAGGGCACAGCTGTTCCCTACTTTTTTCATGCCAGGAAAGAACCCCAAAACTGAGAAGTGGCTGGGAAAATGCTCAACTACACATAGGAATTTCGCTAGGCTGCAAACCATTTTAAATGAATGTTTAATAAGATACTGCATCAGTTATGTACTTGGGCTGAATGTACTGCGGCCCAGGAGACCTGAAAGAATTAATACAGTTCCCAAAAGAGCTGGTGGGAATTGCTGAGGCAGAGGCAGAATCTGATTTGATGAATTGAAAAGAAAAGTGCTTTGACAGCATCAGAAGGAAAGCGCTATGACACATCTCTGCTCGCTCCATGAAGATGTCTCCTCCTACCTAAGGAACATCCTCCAAGAAGGTCTCAGGGCTGGGGGCCATGGCACACAGGTACATTTATCCTTTCCTCCCCTTCCTGACTCCCTTCCGCTTGCTGGAGCTTACACAGAGGTACAATGCACCCACAACTCTAATCCTTCCTTTTTTTCTCACTTCTCTCTTAGCTTCTTCCTACTGTCTTCAGTCCTTCCACTTCTGGACAATTCTCAAACCAAGCCCTCCTAATATCTCACTCAAATCTCCAAGTCTCTCTCCCCTCTTCTCCCAACCAACGCTCCCATCTGGTCCACAGAAAGACCCTCCCTTCTCATCCTAAGCCAAGAAATTTGGACACACCTTTCTTCATTCTGACACTCTCAGACTTCAGTACCAAAACCCCTCCTTGGGTGCTAACCCCTCCCTCTGAGGGCCTTAGAAACCCTTCCAGCTCCACCCCAGGAACAAATAGGAAAGCGTCAGGCTCTCCATGCTCTGGGTCTGTAGTCAGTTCTCCTCCCCACTCACACCCACTCTGCTAGAGGAATACATTCTTGTGGCTGTTCGGGCTTCTCAAACTTTCCACCCTTCTAGGGGCCGCGGAAGCATGACGTTTCTCTGTTCTTTTGTGCTTTACCTAAAAACTTTGCATTTTGTTCCACAGCACACCCATATTTAATCCTTTTTGAAATAGTTTTAGTCACCACAAGAGGGAAAAAATGGACATTTTCCACAAAGCAACCTGGTAACGCTGATATTATAGGAATGTAAGCCATGTTGTTTCAAGTGGCCCCAGGTTTGTATCTGTAAATTGCTTAGAAATCTCCAAGCGTTCCACAATCCTATTACACTTCTGTGTTTTCCAAGTTCTTCCTGGCACACCCAGAGTGCCTCTCTGAGTACCCCACTTTCAGACCCAAGACAAAAAGCATTTCCATTCATTTCTGGGCTGGAGAGGTGGGACTTGGTTCTCACCAGGGTCAGTGGCCACGACACCCTGTCATAGCAATAAGATACCAGGGGCTCCCAAAAACCTTGGGTGGCTGTCCTATGACTAGCGCACTCCGGAGTCCTCGCAGACCATCGCTTCCGGCCTTACCTTATCAGCCATGATCATAGATGCGCCCCCGTGGATGCCCAGGATGGGGATGAAGGTCTGTGAGGAGATAAAATCCAGCATCTGGGCCACGGCCTCCTGGTCGGTGTCGTCCCCAAACACCAGGCCGTGGATGCGCGCCCCGGACATGAGGTCGCACACATGTGTGATGAGGCTCTTGGGGTCCGTGCGGTTCATCAGCAGTGCTACCACGTTCACGTCCAGGGGCAGCCCAGTCGCCTGCTCTGGGCCCCACAGGTTTCGCAGTTCACGTTCCGTCACGTCGTGGCTGTGACCCAGCAGCACCGCGATGTTCAGCGCCGGGGTACCCTTCTCCGCCGCCGCACCCTGCGCCGGATGGCGCCAGACCAGAAGTGCCGGCAGCACCAGCAGGGTCCAATAGCCCAGTCTGCCCATAGTCGCCACTTAAGGTCCCTGCAAGGTGGAGAGGGAGAGCCACGGCTGCGGTGAGCCAGGGTTCCAGACCCCGCCCCTTGCTCTACCAGCCAGGTAGAGAGCCCACCCGCAGCGCAAGTTGCCCGAGTCACCTACTCCCTTCCCGATCCCCGACGTCATTCACGTCACTAGACACATCGCCAACTCTATCCAACTCCAATCCGAGCTAATTCTCCAACCCTGGCGGTAAATCCATCTTCTCATCCACCCTCCTTCTCATGCCTCAGTCTCCATGCCCGACTCTGCCCACATCTCCCACCGAATCCACCAAGTTAGTTGCGGACCACCGCCCTTGAGCGTAGGCGCACAGAGCAAACCTGTCACCCACTCCTCTCCCACGCCGGATAGAGCGGACCAAGTTACGGATCCCGCCCCCTGCTCACAAGGAGCGAACTACAGATCAGCCGGGCGTGCGGAGGCGGCGTAGAGACTAGTAACCCGGCTCCAGCGCTCCGGCGAATTGACTGACCCCGCCCCCTGCGAACGCGCGGGACGCAGCGCAGACCTGGCTCCCTGCGGCACCCGCTGCGGACCCCACTCCTCTCCCGCAGGCACAACCCACAAGCTTGGGAGTGAGAACTCTCCCTTCTGCGCTCCAGTCTCCGGGGCGCCTGAAGGAAGTTAGGGCCCGCCCCTCCTCCCGCTGAGGGGCCCTGAAGAAAGTGACCCCAGGACCCGCCCCCTACACGCACGGGTTCACACACGTTCTCTTTCACGCGCGCTGTGTGCAATGCAGAATTCCGGAGAGGAGGTCGTCCGCGGGCCTGTGCGTGGGAGCTGGCAAAAAACGTGTATGGGGCTAAAGGTAGGCTCCTAAGAAGCTCTCCGACCGACATAAACTGTACAGCCCCTCCCCAGGCTTTCCACTGCAGGTCCTGTTATCAAGTCTTAGGTGCACGTGGGCAGGTGGGGATCCACTCGCTCACAGGCACGCGCGCATTTCTGCGCATAACCACAGGCCGCCGTAATGGTGCCAACGGCCATCCGGAGTCCGCACATGGACTCAGGCGTTGCACACATAGACACCGCGCCAGGTACACGGGGGCGCGTGCCTGCAAATACCAGCACAGTCGTGCACGCGTGCACAGGCGCGCGCCCTGGGGCGGGCACTGCCAGAGCCTGGGAAGTTGGGGAGAACTCGCACCGACCTCAGAGCTCTATGAGTGAGCACTGCGGTGCCGCAGCGCCCCCTGGTGCTCCTCTCTCGCCTAGCTATCGATACTCCCTCGCCCGCTTTCTCTCTCCCTCTCCCGATCCATCTCCCGCTCTCGCTTGGGTCGAGTCTTCCTCCTCCCCATCCCGCCAAGCCCAAGTCTCCCGCTGGGACGTACCTGTAGCCCGAGAAGGTCGAGGATGCAGTGGGGCGCGCTGCGCGCACGAGCATCTCGGCCGCCTCAGCAGCCACCGGGTTTAGCGGGTTTCCGCATGCTGCGGCCCCCGCGCGCTTGCGGCTATCCCAGCCGGAGGCTCTGCAGCAGGGCTCTACGAAGATGGGAAGAGACGGGTCAGCCCACGGGTCGGGAGAGCGGGACTGGGGTGGGGGTGTCGGGCTGCAGTCTGCAATGCTCACAGCCCCTATGTGCATACAGGGGGCTCGACAGGAGAGGGGGAGCTGAACCTCCGTGACCAAGACGCCCCCAGACCGGATCCTCAGACCCTGTGGCCCATATGGAGAGCTCCTCTCTAGAGCGCACAGGAGAACCCGGAGCCCCAATTTATCCACCCACGAGAAGCTAACAGGGCTCCTCCGCCCTCACCCCCTACCACCTCCCCAGCGCCGGCTGCTGGGAGTTGTGAGGCCAGGGGCTGCTGAACGAGGGGGGGGGGGCATAAGGTGGGGAGGGGGTGTAGGGGGGGTATGGCTGAGTTTGCGTTGAGCCGGCAGGAGGAGAGGGGAAGGGAAAAGGACTCGGGCTCCCGCGGTCCCAGATCCCCGAGGGAGGTGCGATCATTCCCATACAACGACTCTCTAGCGGTCCTGTCGCCCACCTCTATCCAGGCCTTCCACCGTCCTCTCCCCAAAGGGACCCTGCGTCCCGCGCCAGCACTCACCGCAGCCTCTCTCCACATAGTTCTCAGCAGTGGCCGCTCCTGGTCATCTCCAGGGCTGATGGCTGCAGTCGCGACTATCAGTGCTCATCCGGCCCCATGCTCCGGTTTAAGCCCTGGGCGCCTCCCTCAGAGAGCCAGAGCTCGGTTTCCTGCCCCACTCCCGACAGCAGCTTCCCAGTCCTCTGAGCGCGCCCGAGAGACCTCTCTGCAGCCCAGGCTCCGGCTGGTGTGTGTGAGGACGAGTGTGTGTGAGAGCGAGTGTGGGAGCGCGCGCGCGCTTGTAACCGGGGATCCCCGCGGTCCGCGGCCGAAAGAGATGCGGGAGGGGGGAGACAGCTCCCTCCGGGCCCTTTGCTGCGGGGCCAGCTCCGGGCCAGGCGTTCAGCTCCCCACTTCGCGGCGGGAGTCCCGAGAGCGCCTGATCACCCTGGTTCACAGCACTGGGAAAACCGGGCTCCCAGGGCGTGCTTCTGCTGCGGTCGCCTGGGAAAAAGAGGAGGAGGAAGACAGGGGCGCCTCCACGCCAACTTAGGGACTTGTTCCCAGTCGGTGAGA